TTGGCAGAGACAATGATGTAGAAGGGCTGAAAGGAAGATGCCGTTTCAAATGCTTGCTTTAGAAACCGTGTATTCTGCCATTCGTCCCCTCCCTTTGACTCCACCTCTTGATAGAAGGTTGAAATTATGTGTTGCCTTTTCAACAATCAAGTCTCTTGTTCCCCCTCCCCCCCCTTTTTTTTTACTTTACCATAAACATGGCCCTGTTCAAATATTGAATTTCTGACATTGTTTTGAAACCTGCAGTGGTTAAATTAACAGGAACGTCAAGCTGTGCACAAGGAACTGGGAATAATGGAGGGTTTGGAAGTCTTAAGAGGAGATATTGATTTGGCCTTACATACAGTGATTGATATGATGGTACTTTTCAAATATCTGAGGGGGTGTCATCTACAAGCATGCAAAGGTTTCAGTTAGAGTAAGGCAGATCCTGGTTAAATGTTAAGGAAAACTACCCAATAATTAAAATCTGTTTGGCAGTGCAACTATTATTCAGAATGGCAGTGAGCTGTCCTTCACTGGATTTTTTTTTTATATATTTTAAGAAAATGCCATCAGCTAGGAATGTTTTAATTTGGATTTCTCTATTCAACAGTGGATTGGGCCAAAGGCTGACCTCCAAGTTTTTTTTTATTTTAAGAGTACCCATCAAGGACAAATTAGGAAGCTGAGATACAGAATCAATATGGTTTTGGATTTGGCCGTGAATGAGATATGAACCTAGTCATTGTTTGTAATCCACGTTTATGGCTTAGCATGAACCAATTCACAATAGATTTTTCAATGTCATGCTTAAATGAAATCAACCACTGTAAAATGCAGCAGAAATAAAAACATTTCTTGAGGCTGAGTGACCTTAGAGAGTTGACAGGGTGATTGAGTTTTCTCTTCCTCAGGTTCTGAAAACTGGCCTCTCCGAAGGAGTTTTCTCTGTGGCTCCATCTAGAATAGCTCCCCCCAGTCTTGTTTTGTATTCCAGAAGTGTAGATTTCAACTCTAGAATTCTCAGCAATGCCCATTCTATTGAAATGAGCCACGGTGGCACAGTGGTTAGAACGCAGTAGTGCAGGCTACTTCTTACTGCTGGCTGCCTGCAATTTGGCAGTTCAAATCTCACCAGGCTCAAGATTGACTCAGCCTTCCATCCTTCCGAGGTGGGTAAAATGAGGACCCAGATCATTGGGGGCCATATGCTGACTCTGTAAGCTCCTTAGAGAGGGCTGTAAAGCGGTATATAAGTCTAAGTGCTATTGCTATTTTGGCTGAGAAATTCTGAGGACTGAAATTCACTGATATAGAATAGAATAGAATAGAATAGAATAGAATAGAATAGAATAGAATAGAATAACAGAGTTGGAAGGGACCTTGGAGGTCTTCTAGTCCAACCCCCTGCCCAGGCAAGAAACCCTACACCACTTCAGATAAATGGTTATCCAACCTCTTCTTAAAAACTTCCAGTGTTGGAGCATTCACAACTTCTGGAGGCAAGTTGTCCCACTGGTTAATTATTCTCACTGTCAGGCAATTTCTCCTTAGTTCTAAGTTGCTTCTCTCCTTGATTAGTTTCCACCCATTGCTTCTTGTCCAGCCTTCAGGTGCTTTGGAGAATAGCTTGAATCCCTCTTCTTTGTGGCAACCCCTGAGATATTGGAAGACTGCTATCATGTCTCCCCTAGTCCTTCTCTTCATTAAACTAGACATACCCAGTTCCTGCAACCATTCTTTATGTTTCAGCCTCCAGTTCCCTAATCATCTTGGTTGCTCTTCTCTGCACTTTTTCTAGAATCTCAACATCTTTTTTACATCGTGGCGACCAAAACTGAATGCAGTATTCCAAGCGTGGAATACATCTAGAAGACGACCATCTTAAGAAAGCTGATCTGAAAGCTGGTCTGGAAGGTTCTGGGGTGGTTTGAGATCTTCAAGAGCAGATAATGTTATTTGGGGATTATCAGGGAGTTGAAGTGTCCTTTCTTCCAAAATTCAGGTTGATTGGAATGAGACCCTTGATGATGAATTGCCCAAAGCAATCAGAGGGCAGATTAGTTTGTACGTCTAGGTGTCCTGGTGTAACGTAACCTTTTTCTCTCTGGGTAGATGGATGTCATGGTTAGATGTCAGCAATAAAATCTTAATTGATTTATAGTCCCCCTTACAGAGTTGTTTATGTTGTGCCAATCGGTTTGTCTGTTGCCAGGCTGCTAACAAAAAACCGTGGCGACACAAGGTTATTTTTTTTCAGCTCTGCTGATTAGTTTAGCAAGGCTCAAGCACGTTACTCAAGAGAAATGGGCAGATACGCCTTTCAAAACTGGCCTTATGTAAGCTCTGCTAAACTTTTCACCTAGCATTTAACACCAACCTTGGGAGACTTAATTTGGAAGTCCCTGGATGACATGCAAAGCAGCACTTCTGTTCATTATAAATAGATGTTTAATCCATGATCTTTCTTGGGGAACATCAAAGTTAATTCTGAGACTCCGCTGTTTCACCTCCCCCCCCCCATGTTCTGATTCACACATTGTGCTGTGTTGTGATTTATCATGTTTTATTGAGCAAGTCAAAATTGGATAGGTTTATATTACATGCTAAACTGTAAACCGTGGCAGAAAATAAAGTCTGTTTCAAATCAAATTTGACTTCATTTATGCAGGGGGTATAGGGACGTGGTGGCTGAGTGACTAAGACCCTGATCAGAAAGGTCGGCAGTTCAGCGGTTCGAAACCCTAGTGCCGTGTAACGGGGGTGAGCTCCCGTGACTTGTCCCAGCTCCTGCCAACCTAGCAGTTCAAAAGCACATAAAAAATGCAAGTAGAAAAATAGGGATCACCTTTGGTGGGAAGGTAACAGCGTCCGTGCTCCTTTGGCGTTTAGTCATGCTGGCCACATAACCACGGAGATGTCTTTGGACAATGCTGGCTCTTCAGCTTTGAGCACTGCCCCCTAGCACATATGTGTGAGGGGAACCTTTACCTTTATGCAGGGGGTGGGAGGTTTGGGACATGATTCAGAAGTGATTTGAAGTGGCCAGTGTTGTCTACTACAGCTTTGAACTTCCCTGATCCAGTTTGGTTTGATGGTTAAGGCACCAGGTAGAAAGCAGGAGACTGTGGAATTTCTCAGTCATCCTGGTCATAGTTGTCTCAAAGGTATTTTTTTCTTCAAAAGGCAACTTCTTCCTGAAGGAATAGAATAGAATAGAATAGAATAGAATAGAATAGAATAGAATAGAATAGAATAGAATAGAATAGAATAGAATAGAATAGAATAGAATAGAATAGAATTCTTTAGTGGCCAAGTGTGATTGTCTTTGGTGTATATTCTCTCAGTGTACATAAGGAGAATAAAATACATTCAGCAAGAATAAAAAGATACAACACTTAGTGATAGTCAAGGTTACTAATAAGCTATCAAATCGTAACAAATAAAAACAATATAATTGAAAGATACAAGCAATATGGTTATAGTAATAAGTGGGAAGAGATAGATACTAGTAAGGATGAGAAAAATAATAGTAATATAGTCTTAGTAGTTAATTTGACAGTGTTGTGGGAATGAGTGGTTTAGCAGTGATGGCATTTGGGAAAAAACTGTTCTTGTGTCTAGTTGTTCTGGTGTGCAGTGCTCTATAGCGTCGTTTTGAGGGTAGGAGTTGAAACAGTTTATGTCCAGGATGCGAGGGGTCTGTAGATATTTTCACAGCCCTCTTTTTGCCTCGTGCAGTATACAGGTCCTCAATGGAAGGCAGGTTGGTAGAAATTGTTTTTTCTGCAGTTCTAATTGTCCTCTGAAGTCTGTGCCTGTCTTGTTGGGTTGCAGAACCAAACCAGACAGTTATAGAGGTACAGATGACAGACTCAATAGTTCCTCTGTAGAACTGGATCAGCAGCTCCTTGGGCAGTTTGAGCTTCCTGAGCTGGCACAGAAAGAACATTCTTTGTTGAGCTTTTTTGATGTTTTTGATGTTAGGTGTCCATTTTAAGTCTTGAGATAAAAAAGCACCTTTGAGACAGGAGACTCTGAGTTCAATCCTGCCTGAGGCATAAAAGCCAGCTGGGTGACTTTGAGCCAATCACCAGGAGACAGGGAGTTCTAGTCTTACCTTAGCCATGAAAGTTGGTTTGGCGAGCTTGAACCAGTCACTCTCTCTCAGGCCACAGGGTGGTTATTGTGGGGAAAATAGGAGGACGAAGGTGTGTTGAACATGTTAGCTACCTTGAGTTATTTGTAAAAATAACAAAAGGTAGGATATAAATAAATAAATAAAAAAGGGTCCCTCATCCAATATACTTACAGGGGCAACACTGTTTAGCTTTGTGGACTGCTTGCTGAATGATACAAACCACTTTAGCTAGTTTCACATGGGAAGGTAAGACAAATCCCAACAAATCACTTTGTTAGCATGTATTAGGCATGGTGGTTTGTAAAAATTTTCTTATCAGTACTATTAATTCTCCAGTGCCAGGGTGTTTTGTGTATATTCGAAGTAATCAATTTAACCTATGCTTCATGCAATTATTTGCATTTTCCTCCAATGCTTATCTTACCGCGTATTCCCCTTTTACTTCATTTGTTTGTACCTATTAACTTAAAATAACTCTTCATTTCTCCAGCAAGCAGGGTCTGTCTCTTGAAAGCTTATGCTATCATAAATCCATTTGGTCTTAAACTCCTCTTCAAGGTGCCTCGGGGTTCTGTTTTTGTTTTTGTATCTTTGATCTCCTGCCGAAGTTCCAGCTTCGAAATGTTAGAGCAACAGTAGCAAAAAGGATCTCTAATTGCACCGTGATCACATGTTTGAACAATGGAAGCTCAGGCAGCTTGTGTTTATGCAGGCACAGACAATTGGTGTATTCTCTCTGGAGCTCTTGTCAAGCCCATCTCACCCCTTGAGTGCCTAAAACACTTTTAATGAGTGCGATTCCTTTATACATATATATGAATACAATATATTGTAAAAGCAAAATAATTATTTATGAAGGTCTGTGTTTATATTGCAGCATTCCCATGACAAAGACGTGATCCTGAATACCCTGAGTATTCTCACAAATCTTCTTTTTGTTGGTAAGTAGAAAATTGAATATTTCGTTGTAGGATTTAAGATGAGAAATCTTTATATGAGAAAATACATTCCAGTGTACTCATCTCTAGGAATACAATTGGATAATGTTAAGTTTATGGGCTATGTGAGTTTTCTACGCACACATTTTATACTGTAAGATGAAATGCATTATTTACATTAAATAGATAGATGATTGATAGATAGATACATAGATAAAGGCAGACAGACAGACAGAAACAGACGATAGATAGATAGATAGATAGATAGATAGATAGATAGATAGATAGATAGATAGATAGATAGATATAGAGGGATAGAAGATAGATAGGTAGATAGATATAGAGGGATAGAAGATAGATAGGTAGATAGATAGACAGATAGATGATAGATAGAGATAGATAGATAGATAGATAGATAGATAGATAGATAGATAGATAGATAGATGATAGATAGTTAGTAGAGGGATAGAAGATAGATAGATAGATAGATAGATAGATAGATAGATAGATAGATAGATAGATAGATAGAGAGATAGAGAGAGAGATAGATAGATAGATAGAGAGAGAGAGAGAGAGAGATAGATGATAGAGGGATAGAAGAGATAGATTGATTGATCGATCGATCGATCGATCGATCAATAGATAGATAGATGATAGAAGAAGATTGTGGGTTTTTATTTTAAGTATCATATTTAATGACCATCAGACAAAATCAAAGTCATTTGGAGGATGAGAAGGTTAGACAATTCTTGCACTGAATACCATTCTTACCAGATGGCACATTCCACTGGGCGTGGAAAAAAAAAAGTCCCATATATCAGTCTGCAAAGTAACCCTGAGCTCCTTAGAATCAACACACTGAGTATCTGGAATAACCTTTACCACTGTCTTTTCCTTTCCCCAGGGACAAACAGGAGGGTCCAGTATACTATTAGCAAAGGGGGTAGCGAAGCCCTTTTGCAGGCGTTGGTGAATGCAGCACAAACTTCAGTACCGGACTATGACATCTTGTTACCTCTCTTGCGTTTGCTGGTCAGAATTGGCTGTAAAGGTAATGATTGACGAGAGCTGTTTCAATTCCACATGGTCCAGAGTTGCTTTCATCAAGCAACAATAACATTAATCGTCATTGTCTAAATTGCAAGCATACCCAACTGTGCCATCTAACAGAGATAGATAAGTCCCCGTTGTCCATAAATGCTTTCCTGAAGAACCATGTCTTCACGGCTCAACAAGGATGAAATACTCTGGATATTGGGAGGCAGGGGGTTTAACTGAGTCACAGGAGGGCAGTTATCTTTGAAAAGGCCTGATTCTTTCATTCCCATGGAGAAAAGACATCTAATAAACCTTCTTCCCAACTCTTACTGGATGGACAGTTTCCAACAGTAGCAGGTGGTCTCCAAATGATCTAACCAACTATAGTAGGACTTTAAAACTGCCAACCAATGCACCTGGAAGTAGCCTGGCAGCCTGTGAGGAGACAGGTTGTCTGCAGAATGGCCAGCACCTGGGCAACTATTGTGACCCAGGCACAAGTAGGTAGTATTCGATGCAAACAGTTCCAAAACAAAGAGACTTTATTAGAACAGCTGAGAAGTAACTCATTCTTAGCGTACTCCAAACTAAATCAAAACAAAGTCTTCATAACACAAATTCTTCAGTCTAATCACCAACCTTGGTATAATTAGGCAAACTGCCAAAGGCTTCTCTTGGCTAAAGTTCAGAAGCAGAAGACGCTGACCAGAGATAAGTGTAGCAAGACAAGAACAAGTCTATCAGCGTTGTTTTCTGACAAAGAGCCCAAGAGCCGTTGCTGGTCTTTTAAGCCTTAGGGGAGGGGCCAATCATCTCTTGGCCTTACTCCTGAGTCGTCCTCTTTGCTTTAGCTGCTCTTGCCTTCTGGCAGCTCTTCTCATACGTGCACTAGGAACAGGCTCCTCCTGTTCCTCTGCCTCTCTACTGTCAGCCTCTGGAGGCTCCAGAGTCCTCACATCACTCCCCGATGGCCCTGGCCCCATCTCTGCCTCCGATGCAGAGCCCTCATCTGGGCCTTCCCCAGCCTCCAGGACTGGCCCATGTTCTTCCTCAGCCTCATCGTTGTCCAACTCCACTGCCAGCTCTGCAGGCTGCTGGCGGACCACAACAGCTACTGTCTCTTTGAGACCTCTCCCCAGCCAGCCCAGAAGCTGGTGGCCATAAAACTTGATCAGAGACCCAGCTGAGTGGGGTCTATGACAACTCACTGTGGGACAATTCACCATGGTCAACTCACCGCGAGGCAAGAGCTACATGAATGTTGAAGAAATGATGGAATAGACTCATTAAAGAAAGGATGCCAAAGGAGGGACAAAATGAAATGTGATGACCAAAAATTCAAATAATGTTTTGATTACTTTAAATAAATTAAATTGAATTGTTGAATAGTCCTGCAGCAAGTTGTCCCATGGCGAGTTGGCTGCAGCGAATTGGCCATGGCAAGTTGACTCTGGTGAGTTGGCTCTGGCTAATTGTCCCTTTCTGAGCTGAGGGTGGTCATTGTGGAGGCCTGGGGTTGGTGCAACATGGAAGGTGGTTTGTATTCACCTGGGGGAATTAAATTGTATTCACCTGGGGGGTTTATATTGACTGTTTCCTAATATGATTTGATTGCTTATTTGTTCCCTATGACTATCATTAAATGTTGTACCTTATGATTCTTGACGAATGTATCTTTTTTTTATGTACTCTACTCTACCCTACTCTACCCTACTCTACTTTCTATTCTATTCTATTCTATTCTATTCTATTCTATTCTATTCTATTCTATTCTATTCTATTCTATTCTATTCTAAAGGGCCTCAAGCAGCCTAAGGCAAACAGAAGAGTTTATCGAATTAGGGTATTGAAACTCAAGCCTCGGAGTTTTCTTTCGTTGGGGGTGTTACTTGGAACCCTGAAAGAGTTACTGTTCTCCAGAAGTAATGGAGGAACAGAAGTTGTAGTAGAATAGAGGAACAGTAGTATAGAAAACAGTGAGAGATAGCTTTTGATCCCTTGTGGGTATGTTGCCTAGAGACCAGGTGGGGTTGTGTAGGCTCTCTAGGGTTTTGTAGCCCAATGACTTGGGTATAAAAGAATCTATTACACAGCCAATGCAGCTCTTGTACTTGTGGTATCACAAAGATGAATCTAGACGTGCCTATAAATACCCAGCCCACTGCATGTTACACCAGCAGAAGTTTCTGGGTGATTTTCACAATTAGCCTCATGTAGAGTAAGTTGATAAAGGGACGTGGTGGCTCAGTGGCTAAAATGCTGAACTTGTCAATCGAAAGGTCGGCAGTTTAGCTGTTCGAATCCCTAGTGCCACATAACGGGGTGAGCTCCCATTACTTGTCCCAGCTTCTGCCAACCTAGCAGTTCAAAAACACGTAAAAATGCAAGTAGAAAAATAGGGACCACCTTTGGTGGGAAGGTAACAGCTTTCCGTGCGCCTTTGGCGTTTAGTCATGTCGGCCACATGACCACAGAGGCATCTTCGGACAGCGCTGGCTCTTTGGCTTTGAAACGGAGATGAGCACCGGCCCCTAGAGTCGGGAACGACCAGCACATATGTATGAGGGGAACTTTTACCTTTACTCTTAGAGTATGTTGTGAGAGATCAACCTTGGGGTGACAAGGACATGAATGGCTGTGCACAATATCTCCAATGTAAGATTGGCTAGAATTGTTGCACCTGATTGATCTGCCAAAAAGGTCCCTCTGTCCAATAGTCCCCAGCTGCTGTTGAAACAGGAATTATGAGTCAAGGGGGACACCCAGATATAGCTGCTCAGCCTCTTTTTAATGGATTAGTACTCTACTGCTACAACCTGAGCTATGCCTTTATGCCAAACATTGTGAAGAGATGTCAGCTACCCACTGTGTATGATATTCCCCGGGTATAACGGCTAGTTTATTACAGACAAAGCAAAGTGACAAAATTACTTACTGAGCCTTTGAATGATAATCGTAGGGTTTCATACAGTCCTTATGTAGTATATTACCTAGATAGAAGCTCACCCACTGTGATGTTTTGAACGGAACTGCCTGTTTCGTGAAAGAAAGCTGGAACCTAGTGTCAATCAACTTAAAAGCATACAGTATATTCCTGTAATTCCCTCTTTGCCACTCGTGACAACATCAGGGAAACAAGATAATCCAGGAAACGATAAAGAGGAATACCCCAGCTCACTGCTTCGGGATCTTGATTCAAGATTTTTTTTTAAAAAAAAATCCCCATGTTGATTTTTTTAAAAACAGATGCATTCATGCATCCTCATAATCCTTAGCAGCCTTTTTCAGCGTCTCTCAGAAGTTTTATAAGCATAGTGTTTCATAAACATAGAAGAGCCTTTTCGGCTGTGGCTCCATCCTGTGGAACATTCTTCCAGCAGAAGTAAAAACTGCCCGTTCCCTTTTGGCATTTGGGAAGGGTATCAAAACCTGGCTTTCCCTGTTGGCCTGGGACCCTGAGGGGGACATCCACCACTGGAGGTGGCTGTTGGGGTAGACGATCTCATTTCTGTCCCATCTATCTCTTGGTTCTTATAGGCGTGGCTTTAGCACAGTTTTTAATAATATTTTTAATGTTGGCTCATTTTAATCTTTTAATAATTTTTCACCTGTTTTGATAACTTCTAAGCTGCCCTGAGTCACCTTGTAGCGGAGATGGCTGGCATGAAAATTTAATAAATAAAATGTCACGTTTGCAGTGTGACTACTATTAGAAGACAACCCAGGAGCAAAAAACAGTACACAGAGACGTAGACATTTAACAGCGGTTTTTATACAAGACATATACAGAAATATATGTGGTATGCAAATACCTGACAAGCAGTCAATCTTCTTCTTAACTCTACATGGAGAACTCAGCAATGAATACTGGACACAAGGAGAGAGAATACGCCCTCTCCTGGCTGCTTTTATAAACACTTCTTAAAGTGGTAAAAACTCTTGTGGACCCCTTTGTAGTCTACAACCGGCAATACCAATACAAATTCATCTTCATTGCATCAGCCTTACAGTTGCATCAGTTTTACAGCTGCATCAGTTTTACAGCTGGTCAGCTCTTAAATCTCAATACCTTAACATAAAATAAATAGTGTGCAGAATTGGTTGAGACCAGGGGTGAAATGCTACCGGTTCGGATCAGTTCGGCTGAACTGGTAATGATGGCGGAGGGTGGTTCGGAGAACCAGTAGCGATGGCAGCGTAAGGCTCCACCCACCTACCCGGTCATCATTACTTCCTGGTTTTAACAAGGAAGTAAGCTGTTCCATGCGCGCATGTGATGCATGTGTGCAACGCATGCACTTCCTAACCGGTAGGGAAGGTAAGTAGATTTCAACCTTGGTTGAGACTAACGGAAAAATCTTGCAGTTACATTCCCACTGTTTATTCCTGATTAGGAAAACTGGCCTCTGAACTCACCCCTGTTCCAAACTAAATTCTACTGAGTTCAGTGATGCTTATTCTTAAATAAACATGTATGGGATTGAAATCTCAGGCTGACTTTCAAACTCGCTCCCATGCTGGGTCCTTTAAAAGATGAGGCAGCAAGAAGGTGGCTATCTTCAGTGTGTATAATAAGTTGGATTTTTTAGACAACTGGAATAAAAAACCGCCTGAGTTTTGAATGCATTGGCAGGAAGCATTTTGCTCTGAAATTATAAACTGCACAAATTGGCTTCACTGAAGTCGGTAGGAGAACCAAAGCACACAAAAACTTCAGGTGGAGCTATAAAAAAAATGAATAAGATGTGAAGGTGGAAGATCTCAATGAAAGAGATTTTTTCCCCCTATAACCAAGAACAACTATTATGTTGTTGTTTCTTATCAATAGAAGGTCTCTTACTTAATATTTATTTTCCCTCTTCCCTTTTTCCTAGATAAGAAGTTCGGACTGAAAGCACAACGCCTGGAGGCAATTGATGTAACTCTCAGCTTGGCACGAAAAAATCTTAACCACCATGAGAATCTCACCCACTGTCTCTGGGCACTGCGGATTTATGCTTCCAATGGTACGTATGTGTTTGTTTTCACTCTGGTTGCCGCACTTCAAAGTTTGCTAGAAAGCATATTTTGATCACCAAAATTCAGTAGTCAGTTTTCATAGGGGTTCTGGAATTGCTTGGCATTCTGAGAACCTATCATGGGCACTCCAATCAAATAGGGGTCAAAGATCAAGTTCCAAAGTGTCCATACAGCAAAAGGTTGAAGTTGTCCCCATCATTCATTCTAGATTAATTAAAAAAAAAATGAATTGGATAGGGAACTTGGTGGACTCCAGGAGTATCCCTGCAAGGACATTGCTTCCTTCACCTATTTCTCAGCTGCCCAAAAAGCCAATGCAACCATTTGTTGTTAGTCGCGAAGTTGTGTCCGACCCATTGAGATCCCATGGACAACGTTCCTCCAGGCCTTCCTGTCCTCTACCACCCTGTGGAGTCCATTTAAGCTCCCGCCGACTGCTTCGGTGACTCCATCCAGCCACCTCATTCTCTGCCGTCTCCTTCTTCTTTTGCCTTCAATCTTTCCCAGCAATAGGCTCTTCTCCAGTGAATCCTTCCTTCTCATTAGGTGGCCAAAGTATTTGAGTTTCCTCTTCAGGATCTGGCCTTCAATGCAACCCTAGGCTGCATTAATAGAGGGATAGAATCAAGATCATCAGAAGTGTTAGTACTGCTTTGTAATGCCTTCGGAAAACCACACTTGGAATATTACATCCAGTTTTGTTCACTACAAAAAAAAAAGACGTTGAGACTGTAGAAAGAGTGCAGAAAAGAACAACAAAGATGATTAGGGGACTGGAGGTTAAAACATGAACAGTTGCAGGAACTGGGTCTGTCTAGCCTAATGAAGAGAAGGACTAGGGGTGATGAGGAGCTGCCACAAAGAAGAGGGAGTCAACCTATTTTCCAAAGCACCTGAAGGCAGGACAAGAAGTAACAGATGGGAGCTTATTAAAGAGAGATCCAACCTGGAACTAAGGAAAAATTTCCTGACGGTGAGAACAATCAGTTTGCCTTCAGAAGTTGTAAGGGCTTCATCACTGGAAGTTTTCAAGAAGAGATTGGACAACCGCTTGTCTGACATGGTATAGAATTTCCTGCTTGAGCAGGTTGTTGGATTAGAAGACCTCCAAGGTCCCTTCCAACTTGGTTGTTCTGGCACATGATGTTTCTCTCGGCAGCCAGCCCTGACTGTTGCACTACACACGGTGTACTCCTGTTTGGGGGGTGGGGTGGGGGGATCTCTGGCAATTCCAAAGTGTGTCTGGTCTTTTCCAGCTGCTGTCAGTTTTATTTATTTATTTATTTCAGTTCGCCTTCTCTGACCTCGTTGTCACTTCCCCTTGTGGAGAACTTCTAACTGTATCAGCAGCGGTGATGGCCCAAATTGACATGCTTAGCATTTTAGATCTTCCCCTTGAAGATTTAGTGCTACTGGCTGCTGGCCCTGTGTGTGAGCATGCGAGACCCCAATGGTCTTCATTCAGTCTGGACCTTCCTGGGCAGGCAGCCAACCTTCCCTGTCATTCTCTTTTGAGATAAGCAGTATTTGAGAGGGTGTCTGTAACAGAGAAGACAGTTCAAAAGGCATCTTCACTTAGATGTGTTTATATTCCCCGTGCCTTTCACATTCAATCTTTCCTTGTGGCTTGCTTTTTGCTTTGGGTCTGCTTTTGCATGCCAAAGGAAGAGAAACTAGTTTTTTTTCGAAACGCAGAGGCAGTGCGATGGGCTAGTTACTCAGGACAGGCAGTGGTGGTTACTACAGATTTAATGGTGAGTGAAAAAAAATGTGGGGAAGATTGACAAGGAAAGTGTAGTGTGCCGCATGGATAGTGATCCTGTTATTCAGGAAATGTGCTAAGAAGATCTTACTGTCCTTTCTACCAACATTGAAGGGACAGCGGTCGTTGATGCTGTTTTTATCGGTGCTTTTGGTCATCCTCCCTCTAAAAATAAGATGAAGCCTACACTTGGGATGCGGTGGCTCAGTAGCTAAGATGCTGAGCTTGTCGATCGAAAGGTGGGCAGTTCGGCGGTTCGAATCTCTAGTGCTGTGTAATGGGTTGAGCTCCGGTTCCTTGTCCCAGCTTCTGCCAACCTAGCAGTTTGAAAGCATGTAAAAAATGCAAGTTGAAAAATAGAGACCACCTTTGGTTGGAAGTAACAGTGTTCCGTGCGCCTTTGGCGTTGAGTCATGCTGGCCACATGACCACGGAGACCTCTATGTACAGCGCTGGCTCTTCGGCTTTGAAACGGAGATGAGCACCCCCCCTAGAGTCGGGAATGACTAGCACATATGTGCGAGGGGAACTTTTACCTTACACTTGCCTCCATTTACAGAAGGTGAATTGAGTGACAGTTAACGTTGGCAAGAATCCAGCATCTTGCCATTCTCCCCATCCAGAGGCTGTGAGTCAAGCTACAAGGGCTATCCCAGTTGTCTTTTGAAAAAAATAAAATCAAAAGCAACTTAGAAGGAGCAATTGAAGAGAGGCTCTTCACGCCACCTCATGGGAAATTAACAAAGAATTTACTCCCAGAAGTTCTACCATACCTTTCACTCCAGGAAGAGTTCTGAATTTCACTCCATTTTTAAACAGAAAGGTGATACAACTAAGAAGAATTATTTTAAGCATTGGGAAGAGACAACTGTACTGTATTAACAGAAATATAATTTCCAAATTAAAGTACAATTCCACATTTTTGCAACAAGTTCATTATTAGTTATATTAATAAAAGCGATCCTGATTACTTATATTTGTCAGCATTTTGTACATATTAATGTAGCTTAAAATTAGTCTTAAGTATTGTTGCCAGGGTATCTGTATTATAATCTATGAGGTCGAGCCAGCCAAGTAACAATTATTTAATCAATAAATGCATTCATTTGAAAATGATTCGTACTTTTCACTTTAAATATTTTAGTATTAAATAATACTAGCATTAAATTAAATAATTAAATAATTATTAAATTATTAAATTAAATAATAGTATCAGTATTAAATAATTAAAAGACATTAACACGTGAAGGGTTAATACCACTTTATAATGCCTTGGTAAGGCCACATTTGGAATAGTACATTCAGTTTTGGTTGCCACGATGTAAAAAAGATGTTGAGACTCTAGAAAGAGTGCAGAGAAGAGCAACAAAGAGGATTAGGGGACTGGAGGCTAAAATGTATGAAGAATGGTTGCAGGAACTGGGTATATCTAGTTTAATGAAGAGAAGGACTAGGGGAGACATGATAGCAGTCTTCCAATATCTCAGGGCTGTCACAAAGAAGGGGAAGTCAAACTATTCTCCAAAGCAGGGCCAAAGGGCCGGACAAGAAGCAATGGGTGGAAACTAATCAAGGAGAGAAGCAACCTAGAACTAAGGAGAAATTTCCTGATAGTTAAAACAATTCATCAGTGGAACAACTTGCCTGCAGAAGCTGTGAAGGCTCCAACACTGGAAGTTTTTAAGAAGAGATTGGACAACCATTTGTCTGAAGTGGTGTAGGGTTTCCTGCCTACGCAGGGGGTTGGACTAGAAGACCTCCAGTCCCTTCCAACTCTGCTATTCTATTCTATTCTATTCTATTCTATTCTATTCTATTCTATTCTATTCTATTCTATTCTATTCTATTCTATTCTATTCTATATGTTTTAGAGTTTTTTTTTGTGGCAATCCAAGGTCCTGTTTTAGTGTGCACTTTCTGGTATAACTTTCTATTAGGAGGGCTTCAACAAGTCCTTCCTACTGCTGTAGGTCTGTCTTCTTCCCTTCTCTTCCACCTTTCCTAGCATTAGAGTCTTAAATACATATATTTAAGGTTGTATTTAACTTTTAAGAAAAGACTATTGAAAAGTGTCTGTTAACATTTTTTAACTACCTGGAAGGATGTCACGTAGAAAGAAAGTGTTCTCCCTTGCTCCAGAGAGCATGACACAGAATAATAGATTCAAGTTAGAAGAACATGCCTATTGAATGCTGGAGGGAAAAAAAAAATCTTGACAGCCAGAGCAATTCAAGAGTGGAACCAATTATCCAAAGAAATGGTGGGTTCCCGTTCATTGGATCTCTTCAAGTGGAAATTAGACAACTATCTGTCTAGAATGCTTTAATTTGATTCCTTCGTTGAGCAAGCGCTCATGACTAAATGGTCTTGAGCACTAAATGGTCGTGACCCCCCCTCCCCCCACGATTCCGTCTGTTGAGCTGGATGTATGGCTCAGTGTTAAAATCTTTGACAGACCATGAGTTAGTTGACACTTTACCTGTCAATGCTGCCCACCCTGTCCCGCTACGGCTAAAACTAGTGTGATAGTCACCTCCATCTGTGCTGAGTCCTTGATGTTGGATAATGCACCTTCGTATCGTTGACCAGGGCTATCATGTTCTTACTAGGCAGCGAACTATAATAAAAAAACCCAATATTTAATATTACATGTAATAACTGCGGCGAGAATTGTTTATGTGCAAAATTGGGAAAATCGAAATATACCAGGTGAAGAAATGGTGATAAAGAAAATATTAGATTGCGCAGAGATGGATAGGCTGACAACGGAAATAAAGGAGAAAGGAGAAACGGAATATTATATTGAATTGGAATGTATGGTATAACTGGTTAGATAATCGATGCAAAGATTAGGAAATTAGTAAGAAAAGACAATTGATGAACTGGAAAATAATAATAAGTATAAAGATAAAGATAGATGAAGAATGCATAGTATTATAAAATGTATGTAAAAGAATATACAGAATAATAAATATATATTGTATTCATATTAGCATATATAATATGAATGTATACCAGTACAGAAGTGTTGTAAAGATGGATATTGTAATGTAAAGGGGAGACTAGTATAGATCTATTTCAAGCTATATAGCTCTCATCAGCTAGCTATACCCTTACTCGGATTCAAACTTGGGCTGCCTGCATATTAGGCAGTTGTATTAACCTCTGAGCCACAAGTTTTCCTCCCTTTATCAGCTTGAGCCAGGGAAGAGATTAAGTGTTTTTCTATCAAAGCACTTGGTCTACCCCAATATGAACTTGTGGCTGCACAAGAAACAATGGGTGGAAACTAATCAAGAAGAGAAGCAACTTAGAACTAAGGAGAAATTTCCTGACAGTGAGAACAATTAATCAGTGGAACAACTTGCCTCCAGAAGTTGTAAATGCTCCAACACTGGAAGTTTTTAAGAAGAGGTTGGATAACCATTTGTCTGAAGTGGTGTAGGGTTTCCTGCCTAGGCAGGTGGTTGGACTAAATGACCTCCAAGGTCCCTTCCAACTCTGTTATTCTATTCTATTCTATTCTATTCTATTCTATTCTATTCTATTCTATTCTATTCTATTCTATTCTATTCTATTCTATTCTATTCTATTCTTTGTTCATGTTGGGCCACACCAAGATTTCCTGCTTGACAGTACTTCTGCCATCTTTGAAAACTAAAGTACAATTTGAACATTTACTGTTTGAGGGATGGAGCAATGGATAAGATGAGTAGGTGTGTTAAGCTAATAAAGATGGTTTTTTACATTTGTGACAATGTCATGGGACTTGTTAGAGAAGATTTTGAAGAGAATTAAAAAAATCTGTGAAGGCAGTTGCAGGCAATCAATTTCTATTGTGCCTCCAAAAATCATTTCCCAAATTCCATGTTCTGAGTCTATTTTTTCCTCCCTGTCATTCATTGCAGTTACAGTAGGAACTATGTTGGGCATTAATGGAGCGATGGAATTGCTCTTCCAAGTTATCACACCATATACCAAGAAGCATACCATCACAACAAGGTAGGTTGAGAAACTCATAAAATACCACCTTTAGACATATCAGATTGAGAAGAAAGCATCATGTTTGCCTATGCTTGGAGTAGGCTGGGTAAATATTCTATTTTCATTTCTAGTCTCAATCCAAATTATGCCAAAGCATGAAAGTTTAGATCAATGATGGCTAACCTTTTCCAGACCAAGTGCCCAAAGTGTGCGCCCGAACCTCAAAATGCAATGCATATATCGCCCCCTGCTTGCACCCCACCCCCGTGCATGCACGTGCAAGCCCCACATGTACCCTGCCCCCGTGCATGCGCACGAGGCCCCCTGCATGTGCCCCGCCCCCTGTGCATGCACAGCAGAGACCCAAAGACCAGCTGGCTGGCGGGAGGTGCGCAGGCATGCACAGCGGAGCTGAACTGGGGCAACAGCTCATGTGCCATCAGAGAGGGTGCTGTCTGCCACCTCTGGCATGCACGCCATATGTTCGCCATCACAGGTCTAGATGGATACAAGAGAAAAGGAAGACTATTGTGGCTCTTGATGCTCTATTCTTTTTCTTGGATCCTGAATATCGTAATTTAAATACCATCTTGTACAGTTGATCGGAAGAAGGTTATGTGTTGGTCTGTGCTTATGAGTGTCCCAAATCTGTTTGGTGGCTGTGAGTTACAAGTTGCTGGAAACATAGCCTCTTTGGATGTTTGTGCAGGGTAATCCTCGTGTCATTTTATATATCTGTAGGTGTTTGGGATTGAATCTGTGATTTTCTGCATGCAAAGCATAAACTCTACCCCTCGGCTGCAAACTTCCCTTTGAATGATACAAAATACTGGACATTTGGGGGTAACTTGAATGTTCACTGTTGAAATGAATGGATGTTGCCTTGTGAATTTATCCTATTTTTGCTTCTTCTTTTTGCTAGGTGGAAAAATAGATAGGGAAAAAAAAATGCTCTACTTGCTTTTAGCCTGTACATTCCATTCTGTTTCTGCATTCATTTGCGATTCTTTAAAAAGTCTCTTTAGATAAATATATATTTAAATGATATATGTAAATACTCTAAGCAGCTATTTAAACATGTCTTCTGTATCTCATTTTGGCATAATTGCCAAGAACCGCACCAGAACACTTGTAAAATCGGGATCGCTAAATTGGAAACGGAATTATAAAAAGCAACAATGTTGTGGGGTTGTTGTTGTTTTTTTAAGACAGGGAGGGTGACAAACAAATTGGGGATGCTGAGATGCTGGAATGTTTACTCAGGACTGTGTTGGAACAGAAGAAACTATCTCCCCGACTTTAAGATAGAAAAGGGGTACATACCTAATGTTGATAATCAACAAAATAAGTGTATGTCCATCGTATTACTTAATCTTAACCAGAAATCAAACAAAACCTTTATTAGGTCCATAAACCAGCATACACTTCATACAGGGGTGGGATTCAAAAATTTTAGCAACCAGTTCTCTGGTGGGTGGGCGTGGCCATGGTGGGCGTGGCCTACCCAGCCTCCTGCACCACGACGGGGGTGGTGTTGCTGTTTTTGCCCTCCCCAAGCTCCGGAGGCTTTTCTCGAGCCTCCGGGAGGGGGAAAACGGCCTCCCCTGGGCTCTGGTGGCCCTCCGGAGGCCTGGAAACATGCCCATTTCCAGACTTCCAGTACTTCCGGGAGGCCCATTTTCTGCCTCTCCATGCAGGCGCTGCACTTTCCTGGCATCCAAAACGGGCTGCGTGGAGAATCCTGGGAGGGGCGGGGCAGGGTGGGCGGGACCAGCCTGTCCTTGCAACTACCGGTTAGGCAAACCAGATGTAAAAGTAGCATCCATTTCTCCTGGATGAATCCCACCCCTGACTTCATATCTGAATTACAGGAAATGTAGTTGAAACCATTTTGTTTCATTTTCTGTCGGGTAAATTTTTGAGCAACAAATGTATGGTTCCAGAGTTGAAGAGACTCTTGATGAGGAGAGAGGTGAGATAATGAAAGGAGGTAAAAAGTTAAGCTGTAAAAACCTTTCTGATTGCCCCTTTTCCCCCCAAACAGAAAAAAGGATAGAGAATGGAACATGGACAAAATCCAGTTCAACTAGCTATCTCTGGTATGGAGGACGATGTTGAGATCTCAGATCCCAACTACTACCCAGGAAGTCTATCTTGCATCTGCAACTACTTGGAGAGCCTCAAGGGGAGTGATTCTCAACCTTGGCAACATTGAGATATGTGGACTTCAACTCCCAGAATTTCCCAGCCGTGCTGTTGGAGTCCACATCTCTTAAAAGTTACCGAGGTTGGGGGATCACTGCTCAAAAGTCAGATAGAAACGGCATTTCTTTTCCGGTGAATTCAATGCCTCCTTCCTTTCCCCTTTTCACCACCAAGACTTAAATCTGACCTGGCTCTCTTACATGAAGCTAAAATTAGCTATGCAGCTGTCTGCTCCAGTCCTGTCCCTAGCCAGTTCTTGGAGTGAGATTTACAAGGCATGCACACATTTTAAACAAGAGGCACAGAGACTTCAGGTTGCTTAGACTGTTCTTGATTTCTGCCCCCCACCACCTTCTCACGGTCAGGGGTGGGCTTCAAAAATTTTAGCAAGGGGTTCTCTGCCCGGTTGCTGGCTGGGCGTGGCCTAGTCAGCCTCCTGCACCATGGGGGGGGCACTTTTGCCCTCCCGGGCTCCAGAGCTTTCTTCAAGTGTCCGGGAGGGTGAAAACAGCCTCCCCAGGCTCCGGAGGCCCTTCCTAACTTTTGTTAGGCCTTTTTCTTCACCCACCCCGAGCCTCCGCATGCCTCCTGCACATACCTACATCCAAAACGGGCGTCCCCAGAGCATGGGGATTCCTGGGAGGGGAGGGGTGGGCGGGGCCAGCCAGGAGTGGGATTTGAGGGTTCTCCGAACTGCACAGAATCTTAGCTAGAGGTTCTCCCGAACCCCTGCGAACCCCCAACAGCCCACTCCTGCTCATGGTTCTGAAAAAGACAGACCCAGAGAAGACCCAGAGAAGGTACAGAAAGGCAGCCCCAGGTGATCAGGGACATAAACTGTTCCAGTGGCTACATTTTTCATAGATTAGGAAAAAGACAAAAGAAGAAGGAATATTAGATTGGCATGATTTATGGCTCTCTAGTGTCCTGAAATGCTGCATTTGCAATGATGGTGATGATAACAATTTTTTTTTGGGGGGGGGGCAAACATCCTGGTTTTTGATGGTGATTAAGTGCTCCACATTGTTTTCTTTAACCTCCACTGTTGCTTCTTCAGCCCTGTTTCATATCATCCGAAACAGTAGTTTGTTTGACACACCATAGTGTTTTCTTGCACACAATGTCTCTGGGCAAGATATAAATTATGCTTTACAAACCACTAGGCTTTGAGGTCATACGTTGCAGCATTTGATTGTTAGATTTAAATCCCATCTTTCCTCAGGACTTCAAAGTGGCATCCATGCATATCCCCTCCGCTGTATTTCCACAACAGCAAGCCCAGAAGGTAGACTGATCCTATAGTTCTCCTGTGAATTTCTTTGGGTAAGGATAGAGGGCCTGTGGAGATTCTCAGTCATCCAGGTCATGGTTGTCCCAAAAGTGCTTTTTCAAAAGGCAACTGGACTTCCTTTGTTTTTCCTTGAAGATGTTTCACTTCTCATCCAAGAAGCTTCTTCAGTTCTGATTGAATGGTGGCGAATCAGAACTGAAGGAGCTTCTTGGATGAGAAGCGAAACATCTTCAAGGAAAAACAAAGGAAGTCCAGTTGCCTTTTGAAAAAGCACCTTTGGATAAAGATAGACTTGAAGCTGAGGTTTACCTATCCTACTTCAACACTAACTTTTATTCTGATACTAAGCCAACAGCCAAACAAGCCATAACAAAACCCAGGAAGTCTTTATTGTCACTGAAAATCCCAACTAGCCAAGATGTATGTATTATATGTAAGTAAATAGATACAGTACACGATAGATAGATAGATAGATAGATAGATAGAAATAGATGGATGATAGATAGATAGATAGATGAAATAGACAGACAGACAGATAGAAATAGATAGATGATAGATAGATAGATGATAGATAGATAGATAGATAGATAGATAGATAGATAGATAGATGATAGATAGAAATAGATAGATGATAGATAGATAGATGAAATAGACAGACAGACAGATAGAAATAGATAGATGATAGATAGATAGATAGATAGATAGATAGATAGATAGATAGATAGATAGATAGATAGATGACATAGATAGACAGACAGACAGATAGATAAATGCAGTATATACTGGTAGATACAGTAGATGGAGGGAGGGAGGGAGGGAGAGAGGGAGAGAAAGTTTATACATAGACAATCCTAGTCTTCTATTCTTAAAATTCTTTCCATGGTTACTTTTGACACAGGCATTAGGGATTAATTCACGAGATTAATTCCATCTGAAGCTCACAGAAGCAAAAGAGAATGACAAGATATGGTAGGATAGGAGACAGCTGACCCATAATCACCACTAAGCTTCAACAAGGCCCTTTTCGTAGCTGTGAAGCCATGTTGAAATTTCAAATAACAAAACCTTGTCATAACCTTTTTCTGTGATTATGGTTATTGAAATGGCTAAAAAGATGCTATTACTCCCACCAAAAATTAGCAGAGCCTTGCTGGAGAGACAGCTGCAGGAAGCAGTGCATCTGTTGGGCCCACTTAACATTTTTAGCAAATGAACAATTTGCTGGCCCCATTAGCAGATGGTAACAGGAAGCGACAAAGAACTACACAAAACTGTAAACAAGACGGTACAGAATTAGATGCCTAATGTTGCTTCTGCACCCACGGAAATGTGGAATGTTGCTAATGGCAGGAAGAGTGATTGCTCTAATGAACTTCATCAGGTCGGGGATGAAGTTGTCCATCTGACAACTCTGAGTAGGCAGTTTAATCAGTGAGGAAGGGGTCAGGGTGAAATCCAGCAGGTTCTGACAGGTTCTGGAGAACCGGTAGCAGACATTTTGAGTAGTTCGGAGAACCTGCAA